CCGGGGCCCCGCGCCTTGCCCAGGGCGGGTCCCTCCCGCCGGCGCGGGCGTTGGTCTCAGCTGCGCGCGTTGCTCGGTCATCTGCGGTCCCGGGCGCTCACGGGGACGCCGGCCCCCGGCCGCGGGATGGGGCCGGCGGTGCGCACTGCTGCCGGGCTCCAGCGTGGGGCCGCTCCGAGGGGCCGGCCTGCCTCGGTGGCCTGTTTGCGTTTTGGGGGATAGAGCTTTAATGTCACGGGTCCCTGCTTCCGGGGGCCGCGTGGGCGTAGCTCGCGCGAATACGGGAAGGTGCAGTGGGGGTTTGCTGAGGGCCCCGCGGCCCGGGAGGCAGGCTGGCGAGCGTGTTGCCGAGGTCTGGAAGCGGCCGTGGGAAACCCGGGCCCTGAGCTTGCGGGAGGCCGCGGGCCTGCTCCTCAGCCTCCCTGGGCGCGGTCTCGCCCTTTGATTCGCTGCTTTCTCTCCGCAGCGCCAAGTGTGGGCTCTCTTTAGTGCATCTTGCTTGTGAATGCGAGACAGGCTTCGGGCTGTGACCTGCTGGAGAGCCGCGGGAGGTAGGAGGGCCCTGTGCGCCCCTTCCCGGCTCCTACCTGCCCCACAACCTGCAGGGTCTGGGGGAGAGCGTGAGAGCCCCTTTGGCACCTGGGGCATCTGGCCCTGGGGCTCAGCATTCAAAGGCAAGCGTGAGACCTCCCCCGCAAGTCACCCACCTAGTCCCAGATGCCCTCTGACCCAAGAGGCCTATAGGTTAGTGCTTCTTTGGCAACTACCTACGGAGTCCCCGCCCCCACACGCATGGCAGAGCTCTGCCCTTGCGAGCCCCAGTTTCTCCTAGTAGAGTAGCCAGTAGCTCTGACTTTCCTAGTGTTTCCAGCATGTAAGGGGTTGACCATTTGTCCAGGCCCAGCCCCGGTGACTGCCTGGCTGGGGCTTACTGGGGCAGCAATCACAGGGTCCCGGTGGGAGTTCTCCTCCTCGGGTCAGAGGGGAACACATGGCACCCCCGCCACCCCCAGGCTTTCCCAATGCTAATGTGCTGGGAAGAAGTAACTATTATAAAGACGGGTCTCAGCTGGAGGTGAGTTCAGCTGTCATTCTAACATCAGCTAGGATTTTGACACGGGGGGGGGGTTGTGCTAGGGGTAAGCTCACAGCTGACAGACTTCATTTGAGGTGAAGATACTTCCACAAACGTGGCTCGGGCCTCATGGTCTATACTGTGCCACCCACAAAGAACCAGATGCAGGAAGAAGGGCTCAATTCAGAAGACCCTATGAGCATCACGGGCTGGCACGGGTGGTTACGGGAGCATCACGGTGAACAGCCCCAGGTGCAGAGGCTTCAGTGCTGCGAGCTTGCTTCCATCCTCACGAGACCTAAGGGCTGGGAGAACGGCATGATGGGAAGAACCAAAGGCTGGTTCACAGACCAAGCTGAGACCAAGGCCACGGTGGAGTACTTTCTATGTGCCAGGTCCTGCTCTGAACATCACCTCACTAGCCCCCAGGGGGTGTATGGCGAGAACCCAGGCAAGTGTGTGATTGGGGAGCCAGGGCTGTGTTTCCAGGAATGAAGGGGGGCGTCAGAGTGGGGCCTTGGCCAGGCCTCAGTGCACACCAGTGGGAAGCCGAGGGGGAGAGGATGGGCCATAAGAGAAGGGCCTGCCCAGCCATCTTCCAGTGGCCAGAGGCCAGCCCAAGGGCACTGGGCCCACGGCCTGCTTGGGTGTCTCCTTCAGCAATGGAGACGCTGTGCCCTTGTGGTTCTTTCCAGTAGTTCCCAGCAAGGCCTCCTTACAGGTCCACCTCTGCACACCCTGTGTACAGCAGCATCACATGGAGGAGGAGGTGGCCAGTAACTGAAGCTGCCATCAGCCGCCATTAGCCCAAGAGTTTATGTGCTTGAGCCACAGAGCAGGCAGAGTCCTTACTTGGGTGACAGACCCGCTTCCTGTGGGCACCTGTGTTCCCGCATCCAGATCTGTCCTTTTGGGACTCCTCTTGCTCGGGGTCCCTCCTCACCCCCACTGTGGCAAGGCTGGGGTGTATCCAGACTGGCTGGAGGAACTTTGCAACGCAGCCAGGACAGGTGGCAAGCAGGGTCAGATTGAAGGTTCATGGAAAGCAATAGCAGCTGCCCCGACTCACAGCCCCCCATGTGCATCCGAGTGCACTGCGCTCCACAGGCCTTGCCATGGCTGACTTTCAGAAGTGGACCCGTCCGTCAGCAGGTCTTTCTTCTGGTACCTCTGGGTGCACTTGAACCTCAGCCTTCCAGTTAGCCATGGGTGTGTTCACAGCTCACACCGGCCAGGCTTCCTTGAGGTGTACTGTGATGAGGCCTGATCTCTGTTGAACAGCCAAACTCCAGCTGTGTAATGTTGTCATTGTTAGGTGCCGTGGGGTTAGCGCCAACTCATAGCACCCCACGTACAATGGGACAAGACACTGCCTGGTCCTGCGCCATGCTCACCGTGGTGGCCGTGCTCGGGCCCGTGGCCGCCTAATAAGGGAGATCCTTCAGTGCCACGCCGGTGATCCCCCTGCTCGCTTTACGGTTCCTCTGCCGCTGGAATTCACATTGGATGGTAGAACCAGTTCATCGGCCCTGGGACTCGCAGTGCCCCTGAGTCAGTCCGACTGCCCTGGGCCTGTGACCTGCTGTTCCTGTCCGGAAAGTTATATCATGACTTTTCCTCAACGTGGCTGATTTTTCCCCTCTGTCCACGAAAGCACCACAGGTTCATAAACAGGGGTTCCTGCCCTTGTCCTTTCTTCCAAGCTGTTCCTGGCTGAAGATGATCCCCTGGAGGAAACAGGGCTGCATATTGCTGTCCCCAAAGCTCTCCTGCAGGCACAGACCCCTGAGGACCCCGCTCTTCTCAGCCCTTGGAGTGCTGTCATCTGAACAGGCTGGGCAGGTGTAGGATGAACCATCTCTTCCAGAGCTGCGACTCACCTGGAGGCTTGGGGTGAGGGTCCCCTCCCTGTTCTGCATCCGTGACTGGCTGAGATTCTGAGAGGACTCACCTGGAGGGTCGAGGTGAGAGGTCCTCCCTGCTCTGCGTCTGTGGCTGGCTGAGATTCTGAGAGAGGAGAGTCCCCAGGAGCCAGAGAACTGTTCTGCCCCTGAGGCCTGTTCTTGCCTCTTCAACTCCCAGGAGGCTTTGTTTCACATTTGAGTTAAAATCTTAGAAAGACAATAAAGTTCTGGGAGTCAGCCAGGAAGAAAAATCACACTGAGTTGTTTCCTCTTGAGAGAGGAGGCTCAGAAGCTTCATGCCCACCCGTGGTCCCCTGACAGCAGCCGAATTTGACCTCAGAGTCACGCAGAATTGGCCCCAAGAGGGCCTCTGGTTTCCAGGGCAGTTCAGACAACACATTGCCAAATATTCTCATGTCATCAGGGCATCAGCAGGGGCCTCCTGGGACCCAGAGGAAGATGCTCGCAGGGCAGGAAGCTGCATCCTTGTGTGTTACCCCTCCTGGGTCACACACCGTGGCCCACCAGTCCATCCTACCACCCACTTATCTGTTTAGCAAATACTCACTGGGAATTCTTGGCCTCTGGGAAGTGGTAGACAGAATAGACATGGCTGCTGCCCTCCCAGGGTGGTCCATGGCCAAGGCAGGCATGTGTGAGACCGACTTGCAAACATTGGCCATGTTTCAGCTGTGACAGCTGCCTTCTGGGAGTTTTCAGAACTCTGCCAGAGCCCATGACCTCCATCGAGGCTGGGAGGTCAGAGTGGGCTTCTAAAGACACAGCCAGCAACAAGGTGAAGAGGGAGAGGTGACCCTAGGATCCCCAGGACTGGTGCAGATCCAACTGGTTGGTGTCCACGGAGCTTTCGCTGGATGGTTTTCAGAAGTGAATCACCAGGCCTTTCTGCCTGTGTCAGTCTGGAAGCTCTCCTGAAACCTATTTAGCATCCTAGCAACACTCAAGCCTCCGTGGACAGTCAGTGGTGGCTGTGCGTGAGGTGCACTGGCTGAGACTCGAACCTGGGTCTCCTACATGCAAGGTGAGCAGTCTGCCTCTGAGCCACCACTACCTCACATGGTCAGGGTTATGTGTTATAGAGAATCTGCTGTGAATGTTCACCCACTACAAATTGGTATTTCTATCAAGTTGTAGACTTAGAGGAAGGTGGCAAGAACAGCACAGAGTGCTTCTACACTCCTTCCCCAGGTTCCACCAGGCCAGCATCTCAGGTCACCATTTTGATACTGTCAGAACCAGGACGTTAACATTGGTCCAGTGCTGTGAGCCAGGCACAGACCTCATTCTGTTTTCCTGCCGGTTTCTGTCTCTGCCCCAGGGTCCCTTCTGGGAACCTCCAGCAGCCTGCTGTCATCTCTTCTTGGTCTCCTCTAAGCTGTGCCAGCCCTTGGTCTTTCATAGCCTTGACACTTCTGAAGAGCACTGACTGGCCAACCATTTGCAAATGTCCCTCAGCTCAGATTATCTGACGTGTTGTCATGATTAGAATGACGTTATGCATTTTGGCAAGAACACCACAGTGGTGGTGTTGTGTACGGCCTCACGGAGTTAGCCATGCCAATTTGTCGTTTCACTGGTGGTGGTCCTCAGATCCCAAGGTTCCTGGCTTTGTGGCCCCTGTTTCTGTCCATCTGGCTAGACCCAGGCACTTTAGTCAGTTGGTTTGCTCTTTGTTTCGGTGGTTGGGGTTGGGGTGAGTACTGCAGCTGTGTCCTTGTCTTGTGAGACCCTAAATGTCTCTCCTCCTGCTTGTCTCCTCCTCTGCTTGATTCCCTAATGGAGCTGCTGCCTTCCTTTCTGTCTTTGCCTCCCTCAGAAGCTGTGCATTTGGAAGGCTGTCCCTTTAACCCTTTCATATTCTTATATCATCCACTGGCCCTTTATATGGCCTCTAGCTCTCTAAATGCACGCCCTATTTTTCAGATGGGTCTGTCCCTTTAAGTTCTTTGACATCACCCTCCTACTGTCCTTGTGTTGAACTGTGTTTTTTACCACCTTTGTACTGAGACTGGCTCTGATCTTTCTGGTGACTGTCTAGCTGTGCCCTTGTTTGCCTCACTTCTCTGTCCTCCCTGTGGCTTTTGGTCTGCACAAAGCCTGAGGCAGGCAGGGCGGGCTTGGGAGTATGAGGGGCGGTGGGGCTTGGAGTTGAGGTGTTTTCTGTTTTACTCACAGTAACTTTGATGTTTGGGATTCTCTATCTTCCTGTCAAGCTGAGGATGTAATTTGCAGCTTGGGAAGCTATTGTATATAGGTTGAGGAGGAGATTTCAGGGGTTCGATTACTACATAAAATCCATCTGCCTTCAAGTCATCTCTGACTCATGGCACCCCTATGTGTGTCAGAGAAGAACTGTGCTCCAGGGGGTTTACAATGACTGATTCTTCAGAAGTAGATCGGATGGAGGTAGGTCTCCAGAGAACTGGATGGAAGTAAATCTCCAGTGGATCAGATGAAAGTGGATCACCAGTGGACCGAATGGAAGCCGATCTCCAGTGGATCAGATAAGGATAGATCTCCAGTGGACCAGGTGGAAACAAATCTCCAGTGTATTGGATGGAAGTCGATCTCCAGTGGACTGGATGGAAACAGATCTCCAGTGGACCAGATGAAAATAGATCACCAGTGTGTTGGATGGAAGTCGATCT